CCATGTTCTTCAATGAAGGCGGCATTTAAAATACGTGAGCGGCGATTCCTTCGTTTCAACTAATGTAAACGGAGTTAGGCCGGTTTTTAAGTGCTTTCAAGAACTTCATTTAAATTTTTCAGGTGTTTTCTTGACCATTGATCATGGACTTATTGAATGTGTAGCCAAGCTTTCATTTTTAGGCCGCATAATTACTGTTTAGGACATTTTGTTTGTATTGAATGCCAGTGTTTTGGAGACCAGGTAAAAATATTTGATGAATGATGGTTATATTATATTTTTCCTAAGACTCTGATATTGTTGAAATTTATTTTCTGTGTTTTTTATTCTTTATTATATTGTTAATAAATTGGTTAAGTTTGAAACCTTTTTATTGTCTTCAATGTCTGCACAACACATTATCTCAGGGAGCTTTATTGCTACTACTGCTAAATGTTTAATTTTAAACTTTAAACTTTGCTTTAGCATCACGTAAACGCATTACGTGTTACGCAGAAAGTCCGGATTAAAGACTTTTGACTGTATAAAAGAAGTATTTCATTGTGATGACAATGTTTCTCAATCATCAATCAATTACTGAATGGCGAAATCTGTAGTATGGTTCTAGATCCAGAAAAAATCTGATGTGTACACCACGACTTCTTTGTACGGAATATTAAATTATACACATTTTTTCTTGCATTTCATTTAAACTTATTGGATTAAATTAAATCTACTTCGCCGACAGCGCATAAACCACAATAGAGTAAATGCATTCTTTAAAATTCACTCTAGTATTTATTTACCATAGCAACACTCTGGCGCTAGATTCACTTAACAGTATTATATTTCATTCATATTATAACTCAATGCACAAAATTTATATCATTTAAAGAAAAAGATTATCTAATCGTGCCACATGTTCTATTCAAATACTATAATAAAGCTAGAACGGTGTATAAAAGAAATTAAGCAAACAAAACAAAAAAGAAACAGTTTTTCACAGATGATATTTCTCATTCAATTAATTCATTTCTCACTTCCAAGAAGGCAAAAATACATAAAAACTCAAAATATCTATATCAAAAATTACAAAGTAAATCTTAAACACTTATTTCCTCGAAAAAATTCCAGCAAGGATTAAGCAAGGATTAAGCATGATTTAATTGGCAATAATAAATGAAGGCATTATCTTTGTTGTTGTGAAGCTACGTTTCTCTAGATTGGCAACAAATCCACTAGTCTGCTATTTCAAATGTAAACATCAATGGCCGACATAAAAAAAAGAATGTCCGCCATCAAGAAAAGGATTAGGCTTAACGGCACTTAAACAACTTTAAAATTGTTGATAATTCTAAAAATATTGCATAGAGATTTACTAAAGGCATAAAAACCTGAACTGGAAGATAAAAACAATATAATTCAATCAGTTTTAAAGAAAAAAATGTACAATTTACAAACATATAAGAGTAAAGAAACTGAGATTACTGAGCCAGGTAACAGAGTGGATATATATATAAATATATTTACATATGTTTGGTGCGGCCGATTGCAACCAAAATACGAGGTGCACATTTACATGTTATAGCAGTCCTATATGCAAAATTTCAACGTTCTGAGGCTACTCGCTTTTTAGTTTTGCAAGATATGTACGCACAGACGCCACGAAAAATTCTCTTCAGAATTAATTTTAAAGCAGTTTTATAACTTTTCTGGAGGAAACGAGTCTTTTATTCTGTTCTTACGTACAGATATCACGCAAAAACATCGTTAATTTGCATTTGATAGCGGTCAAAATGGATATTTTCGTTGAAATATACTGCCTGAAACTTTTCGCGATTACAATACTTCCTTTTTACTTCATACAAGGAAGTAAAAACTGCCATCAATAGTTAAGAAAGTGACAGAGAAGTTACTGAAAATGAGAAAATTTCAATTGACAAGTTAGTTGAATTCTCGAAATAGCAGTTACAGGACTTCGACAATGTAACTAAATAGCCTGATTATGTCTGTCTACAGAATTAAAGAGAAAGTATAAGTACAAAAAAAAAAAAGAAGCAACTTGCATTGAAAGAAATGTTTAATAAGGTAAACAAATAAATGTTAAGCTTTTTTTTTTTTTTTTTTTTTTTTGTAAATTTTGATATTCTTTAGATCATTAATACTTCATTATTTCATAAATCATGATTTATTATCTTATTTAAGGCTGAAAGAAAAATATAAATTGCTAAAAAATTATGATACATTTGGTAAATGCAGCCAAAGAACTTTTAAAATGAAGATTTCTCAAACAGCATTAGGCAATTCACTTAAACAAAGAAATAAAATTTATAAAGAATTTGTAAAAAATGCAGATGTCTCAAGGAAGTGCAAAAGAGATGGAAAATCAGCAGACGTTGAAACCACTCTTCTAGAATGGTTTCAAGTTATGAGACTAAAAAATGTTGTAAAATATTGTTAAATTTCTAAAGCTCTTTTGACTGCAAAAGCTATAGAATTCACTAAAACGCTAGCAGAAAATTTTGTGCCAAGTGATAGATGGCTCACAAGATGGAAGAAGAAAAATAACATGGTTTGACGAAAAATACATGATGAGACGCAAAGGGCAGATCACCATTTGACTAAGAATATAAGCCACACATCTAAAAGAATCCGGGCCTCTAAAAGAATACAAGGCACACAAAATTTATATCACAGATGAAACAGGCCTGTTTTACAGATCATTACCAAAACACACGTTAATTTTTAAACGTGAAATAGCAGCTGGTTTTAAGAAATTTAAAAAATGAGTTTCTGTGTTTTTAAGGTGCAATATGGATACAATAATTAAGACGGCAGTGGTTTTTGGAAAGACTAGAAAACCTCAGTGTTTAAAAGCAATAAAGAATTTACCATCAGCTTATCATAGTAACAAAAACCAATGGATGACAAACAGTATTTTTACAGATTTCCTTTTGAAATGGGACAGAGAAGTGAAAAACGAATGTGCTGAATACTCCCTTGATAGTGTTCCAAAAAACATTAAATTAGCATTCCTAAAAATATGACTTCTGTCATTAGGGTATTAGACCAAGGCATTATAAAAGATTTCAAATGCAATTGCCAAAAAAGTGCCATTCAAAAACAAAAAAAAAAAAAAAAAATATATATCTATATATATAAACAATAAACAAAATTGAATCTTGTGAAAATGTAAGCACTTTGAAGGAGATAACTAAGTTCGTACTTTTCAATAGGCTATGCATATGGAAAAGTACGAACACGGAAAGCAGTCTCCCAAAACACAGAAAATGTTTTAGAAAGAAAATGCAGTTTTTATTTAGAAGTCAGAGGAATTGCAAACAATTTCTAATATTTCAGACATAAGTGAGAGAAATTACAAAAATTCATTTTTAGAATACACTGAAATAATGGCAATATTGAGAAATCATATTAAAATACTGACTACGATATAAAGTGTTAAAAGAACAGCAGAAACTAAACCAGACAGTGAAATTGTTAAATTTTAGCATTAATTTTTAATTCATAATTTAGTTATTAATTATTAGATTAATTTTTGGTTACTATCTTACAAGATAAGTTTAAAGTTGATACCATAATTTGCAATATTAAAATTACCATTTATTAAACTCAAATATCTTAGAATGAAGTGATTTAATAAGGACAGGTATGTGTGTGTGTATGATGGCAAAGCTCGTAGCTATATGCCTAGGGAAGGATGCCTTTGTGGAGACTTTCTAAGGAAAACTGGCTCAAATACATTTACAAATGGGAAAACCACGAAAACGCCCATGCAGCCAGCCTGTTCGCGGGATTCGAACCTCGGACCGAACTACCAGTGTTCAGCGACTTTACCGCTCAGCCGCTGGTGGGCCCGACAGGTAATGTATATACACTTTGTTGCAAAAAAATATATGCACCTGGAAAGAATTGAGCCATAATTACAAAAATTGGCAGTAGTATAGTGTTTGAGTAGATAAACAAATGATCAAAAACTGGGGTGAAAAAGCCTCTTATTTACAAGTAGCAATAACAAGAATGTGAAAAATCAGTGGGTGGTAAAGCCTATTGATTGACAACAATACAAGCCAATACTTGATTGGGCACAAAGCCTATTGATTGGCAGTTATACAAGCCAATACTCGATTGGGCATGAAGTCTATTAAGTTGCCAATATCATACTTCACAATTGCGCCACAAATGGAGCAACTGGTCAGTAAGTTGGGATGTATTTGCACAAGGCTTAATTTGTATGCCCAACATATTGCAAACATGTTCAATAGGTGACAGGTCTACAGAATTAGCCAGCCAGTTGAGAACATTGTTCAGAAAGTCACGCTGTATGTGGGCGACCCTTGTCCTTTTGGAAAGCAGAATCTGGATAACCTGCTATTATAAGCAGTAGGATCAGTTGTAAAATGTCATCATTGTACCTGGGAGCAGTCACAGTACCTAAAGCACAACTAATAGTGAACAGTTGTTCCAGCTGATCGCACACCAGACTATCACAGTGTTTTGGCTGTGTGCTACTCAGTAACAAATGGTACATTGAATCGCTCACCTCTGATACATATGCAGCGGCAATCAGCATTGAGCAAAGCGTGATTCATCACTGAAGACCACATTTCTCAAATCGGACACTGTCCAACTTGAGTGAGAATGATACCAAGAAAGATGACACTGCTTACAGTGGAGTATATACAATTATTTTTAATACATTATTTAACTCTCAATTAAGATCGTTTGTCCTTTAAATTCTCTACATACATACAATATTTACATCCAAAGGTATAAGAATGAATAATTTATCATCCTATGGAATGTGTCTGTTCTTCATTGAGTTCTTCAAATGCAAATGCTTAATATAAAAACAGTATTGAGCTTATGAAGACCTACTACAAAAAACAATGCTTTAATTTAATTAAATAGTATAAGTTATGTTCAGTTATATCATTAAAATAAATTAACTAACCACCAAATTAAAAAGAAGTTTAGATCAAACTTAGTTTGATTCAATTTACATTACGGAACAAAAAGTTAAATATAATACCTGGTACATAATCTACCCATTTTGCTATTCCACCAGTAACATCATCTTGTGTTGACAGAACAAACTTTAAGACTTCAGGATAGTTTACAAAATGGTAGCAGTTCAACAACTAAGAGGAAAAAGATAAAACAGCAGTTTAATTACAGTCTGAATAAAAATTTGTAATATACAAAATTTTTGTATTTTTGACAAAATTTGTAATGTACAGAATTTTTGTACCCTTAACAGGATTAAAGGAACAACTGCAAAAGTGAAAATTAAATCTGTGATTGATGAAATAGAAAAGGTGTTTCTTGACTTCTGAATCATCTTCCATATAAACCATTTTTTTTTTTTTTTTTCCAGAATTGAAAATGATGCTATTTAAAAATTTATCAAAATTTCAATGGTATCCCTTTAATTTAACATATAACACTGAACTGAATTTAACCTGGGACATCTGAAATAATTTGTGCTGAAAGTCGTTTTTTTAAAAGATGCTCTCATTTAATGTTTTGGGAGTTACCAACTGGAAGTAACTACCACACATTTCACAAAAATTCAGTCTTTAAAGGTCACTTTCACTTGACTACATGCTTTGTAAAAGAGATTAAGTAAATATACATATATTTTTATTTTTGTCATTCACACCACCTAGGTTAAACTATTAATTATTACTCAACACCATACAGATGAATTTATTAAGATATTCACACAGACCAAAGCTATTTTCAGTGCTGTCAGACTAGAATTTATACAGGACAATCTTGCATTCATAGAGGACAATCTTGACAGTTTTTTGAGTTATATTTTATATATACTTTTTTTTTATGTTTCTACTTATCACAATCCTTTCTTGATATATACCTATTTATTTTCATTGCCTCACTCTAATTTTACTTAAGAAAAAGTACTGTATTTCTCTCTTGGAATTTTATTTTCTTATTGACAGATATTTTACCTCAAGTTTTATTTATGAATACAATTTGTAACTTTGTGTTATGAGACAATATGTATGAGATCTATGAGTTTTATTTGCTACCTATAAAACTCATAGATCTCATAACATATAGAATTACTTCAATTATCTGCTTTTACTATTTTACAATATTGTTCACATGTACAACATAATAACAATATTAAAAATAAGGTAAAATTTACTTTTAATGTCGCTCCAACCCAAAAGGAATAACAAGAATCATCGGGCTTATTTGGTCGTCCATGAAAGCCATGTTCTTGACGAAAAACTAACCATCGTTTTAAATGTTTTAGTTCTTCTCCAGTAAATGTGTTTTCTAATCTTCCCATCATCCACAAAGTTGCTATTGCACAGAAAGTAGAGCCACCTGGTAGTAAACAACAATTTATACAATTCAATGTATAGAGAACTTAAATACAAACAGGAGAAACAAATTTTTAATGTAGCAAAATGTGTTCTAAGGCTGCACATAAATAATTATTTGGTACTTTTCTGATTATTCATCTACCCCTCCGAAAAATCAGCAAACTTGCTGAGACTAAATTTTTTTTGTCCAAGTTAATACACGAAAGGCAAGAGAAATTTTGAAAACTGCAACGCACTATGAATTCCATAAAACAGCAACGAAACAATAAAAATAAAAAGCAAAAAACATCATACTGAAACATTTACCTTTCTGAAGGAACTTTTATGTAATTTTTTTTACTGTTTTTCTTTCCATGTACATAGCAACTTGTTTTCACTTAAAAAACATCAGAGAATCATAAACACATAAATACTGTTCTTTCCATATACATAGGCTGTTTTGTAATAAGATTAATTTTACTGCCACGAAACCACTCATTGAAATATTAATATCTGTGGCATAAAAAAGTTTTTTGTCTGTATTAACAAAAGCTACCGATAGATGGTGTGTACAAGCTCATGTTCCTGAGTATCACGTGATTGAACTGAAGTGTGTTTGCGGGCGCCTAAGGGATGCGGCCAGTTGTCAAAATGGAAGTGTCGATGGAACAACGTTATGCGATTAAATATTGTGTTTGTCTGCAAAAATCAGCATCAGAGATCTTTGACATGATATGTGAAGTTTTTAATGATGAAGCATTAGCAAGGGCAAGTGTTTTTCGCTGGCACAAAGCTTTTAAGGAAGGCAGACAAAATGCGGAAGATATTGAATGCGAGGGATGACTTTCAACGTCCGTCACAGAGACAATGATTAACACAGCTGTGGTTATCATCAAGGAGTACGACAAAATTACAGTACGTCAGCTGCATGCTCTCTTGAATATTTTTGTAGGAAGTATTCACTCAATTGTGGCAGAACATTTGCAACTGAAACGCTGTTTTTGCATGATGGATTCCGAAATTGTTGACACCTGAGCAAATGCAGCATAGAGTGGTGGATGTGTGCACAGAATGGAAAGAAAGACTGGAACAAGAAGGTGACAATTTCTTAAAACACATCATCACAGCAGATGAAGCTTGGTTGTATCATTATGACTTAAACATGAAAAAACAAAGTAGTGAATGGAAACATCCGTCTTCGCCTACTTTTAAGAAAGCATAAACTGTGAAATCGGCTGGTAAAGTTATGAACATATTTTTTTTTTATTATGAAGGAATTGTGCATCAACATGCTGTCAAACCCAGTAATACCGTAAACAGCTCATACTACACGAATATCCTACGAACAATGGTATAGCATGTTCAAAGGAAACGTCCATTGCTCCAAAATGGCTTCCTATTGCATTATGACAATGCTCGACCACATACTGCTCTTTGTATACAAGATGTTTTGCAGCAGAACAACGTAGAGATTTTACCGCACACTCCATACAGTCCTGATCTCGCTCCATGCGATTTCTGGCTGTTTCCTTAATTTAAAGAAACCATTACGAGGCAAACATTTTGCAAGCAACAAAGAATGTGTCAAGGCTGTGGAGGCAGTTTTGAAAAAGCTCTCAAAAAATAGACCTTTATATATTTTTATAAGTGGACAGAACATTGGGATAAATGCATTGTGTGCCGCAGTAGTTATTTTGAAAAAGACCACGTAAATGATGATGATGAAAGGTATTCTATATTTTTTATAACTTTAGTGAACAGCCCTCGTATAGAGGAACCAGTTTTCTCTTGAAAAAACATTACAGAATTGTACAAATTTGGAATTAGTGCACAAATTTTGATTTAGAAAATCTGATTATTCACTGAGTACAACTTCACAAAATATGAATTTTTGCATTCTTTACTGTTGGGCAAGATTCATACATCTGAAGAAACGTGACTTTTTTAATTTTTCTGTTAGCTGGTAAATTTTACTGTCGCATTACAATCATTACAATTCTTTTAAAGAAAGAAAGGGGGAAAACAAACTTCTCTGTTATGAAACCACGAGCTGATACGCAGAGGACGCTGACTAATAGCGCTCGAGCAATGTAGATGTTTTTGAAATAAATAAACAGTTGAGAACTAAGTAATGGAAAAAAAAAAAAAAAAAAAAAAAAAAAAAAAAAAAAAAAAAAAAAAAAAAAAAAAAAAAAAAAAAAAAAAGAGCTGTAAAAAAAAATTTTGGCGATGTATATGTTTTGTAAATAGACTGTAATAAAATTTGTTCTATTAGCTTCACATAATTGGATTTGTGATGATCTACCCGACAGTCAGACTGAACGCAAGTACAAAGTAAATTCGATTTATTAATTTTATATTTTTTCATAATGTAACAAAATGGCGTCTGGGACAGGATGCCGGGTAGCTTTAATTCAAAAGTTATTACAGTGAAATGAAGACTTTTGAGTTTTTATTTTAAAGAGTATTACTGTTAAAATTTTAATGATTGATTCTATAATGAATATTTGTTGAACTTTGAATTATTTATTAAGAATTTGATTTAAGGACAATAATAACACTACTTTTGATTTCAATTATGGAAGAACTTAAACGATTTAGAGGTTGTTTAAAAATAAATTTTACTAAGACTGTGAATAATTTAGATGAACTTTTAAAAGTCGATAAATTAGATTTAGATAAGATTACAGTTCTTTTCGCTCAACTTGATGATAAATGGCAAAAGATAAATACTTTGGATAAACAGGTATTAGAGTTATTGAATAGTAAAGATACCAAATGTTCTAATGAAGAATTTGAAAAAGAAATCAAAACCACTGAACCATACAATGATAAATTTATGTATTTTAAAATGAAAGTAACTAGACTTGAACAGAACTATAGCGAAAGGGAAAATATTTTACCTAAAGATAAAAATGAAGCTGTTAAAAGGAAATTTAAACTTCCTAAAATTGAATTAAGAAAGTTTAATGGTGAGGCAAAAGAATAGTTGGGATTTTGTGGCCAGTTTAGAAAAATTCATGAAGATCAGGAAATTGACCCTGAAAATAAATATCAGTATTTACTACAATGTACAGAACATGGATCTAAAGCTAGAGATCTTGTAGAGAGTTTTCCACCTACTACTGAAAACTATAATAAAGCTATCGAATATTTGAAAGATAGGTTTGGAAGAGACGATCTTTTGGTTGAAGTTTATGTGAGGAAACTACTCTGTTTAGTCATGAAAAATAGTAGTAATTCTGAGAATAAAATTTCTGTGTTTAAACTGTATGATAAAATAGAAACCCATTTACGTGCATTAGAAAGTTTAAACGTTACAACCAAGAAATATGCCGCTATGCTGTATCCTCTTGTTGAAGCCTGTTTACCAGATCATATTTTGACAGTAGGGAAAGAAATTTAGCCTCAGCTGACAAAGGTATTTCAACAAACAAATTAGATGACATTTATGAAGAAAGAAGTTGAAGGTGAAGAGAGAATAACAAGCGTTTAATGTAGAATGTCGATCACAAACGAAAGCATTTCCGAAACATAAACATGGAGGGCAGAATGAAATACCGACAGCTGCAGGACTTTTAAACAACGAATTGACAAAAGCAAAACCTACACAAAAGGTGAATTGTATTTTTTGTGGTGAGAACCCACAACTGTTGTAGAATGTTAATCCGCTAAGATGTATGTATTAGATCAAAGGTCAAGAAAAAAAGATTTTGTTAAAGAAAAGTTGGAGGTTTGTGTGTTTTACTCGTTTAACTCCAAGTAATTTATCGAAAGATTGTAGAAAATTTGGAGTGAAGTGTACAAACTGTTTTAGCAAATATTATTTATTGATTATGTGTCCAAACGTAAGTAAGTGCAGAAGGGAGGAAACCGAAAACCGAAAAGGAAATAAAAACATATGATCTGAATCAGAAGGCCAAAAAAAATAAAGGACATACTCTGATGAATCAGACAAGTATGCCTGAAGTACTGATGATGCAAACTCTGAAGGTCCGAATTCATGGAAATCAAATCAACAGTTTATTAGAGCCCTGTTGAACACTGGGTCTCAAAGATCATATACAGTCAAAAGTCGTTAATCGGACACCCATAATCCGGACCTCAAAGCTAAAAACTTTCTGCGCATGCGCCGCATTGGCAGAGATGCGCGCACAGGCGTTTAACGCGTGCGCGTATGAGCGTAGACCGTGAACTACTGCGCATATGCGTGTGCGCAAGTGCAGAATACGTTTTCGATCCTGTGCGTTTAATGTTTATGCGGTGGTTAATTGGGTGTACGTTGGTTTGTGTTAACTAATGTGTGTATGGTGTAAGCTAAAATTATCTAATTATCTATTTCAGTTAATGTTAATGATTGCGTTGTTCCATAATCTTCGATTTGGATCCCTGCTATATTTTTTTGCAGACTGTAAGAGCAATTTTATTTATAAAAGTAAACCTGAAAATTTCAATTATGTCAAATAGAATTTCCGATGCTGGAACTTCCAAAAAGGATCTACAAAAAACGAAAGTATGTTTCGATTTGTCCAACAAACAAAAAGTGGAACTGCTCCCAAATAAATGACAATATAAAATATGATTAAATATATAAATAAATAAAATAAAGACATGAAGAATGTGACAGAGAGGGTAGTGTGAAAACGAAAAAATTCGTTTGACAAGTTAGTCGGTATTCTCAGCACAGCAAAAACGGGACAAGGAACTGATATGAAACGGGGACTTGAACACTTCGAACGGAACTGAATAATGAAAGAAATTATGTCTGTTATATAGAATGGAAAGTTTATCACATAAAACGAAGCAACTTAAACAACTTACATTGAAAGAAATGTTTAATAAAGTAAACAAATAAATATTAAGCTTTTTTTTTTTTTTTTTTTTTTTTTGTAAATTTTGATACCCTTTAGATCATAATTTTCTTTATTTCATTAATTATGGTTTTATATTTTTAATTTTAGAATTTCTGCATGCCATCTTACGAGCTTTAAACTGATGATCTATAATCCGGAAAAAAATCGA